CGTCAAAGATAATTTGCAAATAATTAAAAAAAAGTATACAAATTATGTCATGGTATTTTACATATAGAGCTGTGCATATCAAAGCCAAGATTTTTTTTTTTTTTTTTTTTTTGAGACAGAGTCTCGCGCTGTNTTTTTTTTTTTTTTTTGAAAAACTACTAATATAAAGGGAGGGGGATTATACCTTATCAACCACATCAAATAAAGTTTTGAATCTAGCATAAGTTATTTTGAAAACCGTGCTTCCCTTGCTCTACATCTTTCTTCATAAAAACGAAGTCACTTTTTATTATCGGGTTCCACCTTAACTGACCATTATTATCCTCCCGTTCTTTAATGAAGATAAACTCACTTCTCTTCCACTGATGCCAGTTATAAGAATACTAATAATAGTCGATGAAATTGTGAAATGAGTGGCTTTGTAACTTGATAATGAATACATTGAGCTGCCGTCACTGACGTGATGGAATGAAATATGTACAGGGTTCTGCGTGACAGACAGCCATCGACTTTCAATGATCTTTAATGTTCTTTTCTGAACAGGGGGGCGGGGAACAGGAAAGTGAATTAAACTAAGCTTGGACTGACAGCTGTAGGGTTTGACGCTTTTAACTCTCCCCCCATTATCTTTATCACGGCATATATTTAAGTATTATTAACGATTCGTATGAGGAAGATTATTTACATATTTGTATTATTCATGTAAATAAATGTAAATGAAATCTGTACGAGATGTTGAGTATTTACATATTTTTGTTGGATGCTTAGTTCTTTATGTAAATTCTTGCTTGGTCTCTCCGTATAATAAAATTATGGATCTATGTGTTTGTTAAGGATGATATAAACAGAGATGCCAACTTGCTCCGGACAGCAAATATCTATTTTAAAGTGGTAGTTTATCAATTGTGATTCTTGGTTTAATAAAATCAATTTAGTAGATTTTTATCCAACACTATTTCTAAGTAATTTGTAGGCTTATATAATTCACCATTTCATAGTAATGTCATGCTAAACCTTTTTAAAAACGAGCAAAAATAGTCAAATATTTGCAAAATTTACTTTGTAGTTATTTACCGTGTTTTTTTAATTATTTTGGCGTGTCCGGTGCAGTTGGCATCTCTGTATAAATCTTAACTTGGATTGAAGAACCCCTAGGATAGACTATATGTTTTTAAATTTTCCTTAGAGGATTAACATTATCTCTTTGGTGGAATTCAAACGCAGATGGGTTTTTTTTTCTTTTATGTGTCTTAAATTATTACTTTCAAGTTTGCTGGATTGTTAGATTATCTATACAGTGGTACCTCGAGATACGAGTGCCCTAACATACGAGTTATTTGAGATACGAGCTGTCGAGCGAGCGAAGTTTTGTTTTGAGATACGAGTGACATTTGAGATACGAGGAACGGCCAGGCAAGTCCTTCTCATCCTCGACAATGCTCCTGCTCACCCACCGAACCTCGAACATGATATCCTCCAAGAGTTCAAGTTTATAAAGGTTCTCTATCTACCACCACTCCTATCCTGCAGCCCATGGATCAGCAGGTGATTTCTAATTTTAAAAAGCTGTACACTAAGCACCTGTTCCGGCCCTGCTTTGAGGTGACAGAAAACAGAAACCTCACCCTTCGAGAGTACTGGGAGGACAACTTTAAAGGTCTGGTTTCTTAGGACAAACGCCTTATCTGGGCGTCAGCGGGACGTCAACGTCNTTGCGCGCCGAATCCAATCAATTAAAAATGAAAACTGTTGCCAGCGCGAGAAAAATATCATCGGTTTTATTGATACATACATACGTACGTATTAGCGTTTTATATAATAAGATAGATTTGTAGGCTTATATAATTCACCATTTCATAGTAATGTCATACTAAACCTTTTTAAAAACAAGCAAAAATAGTTAAATATTTGCAAAATTTACTTTGTAGTTATTTACCGTGTTTTTTAATTATTTTGGCGTGTCCGGTGCAGTTGGCATCTCTGTATAAATCTTAACTTGGATTGAAGAACCCCTATGTTTTGAAATTTTCCTTAGAGGATTAACATTATCTCTTTGGTGGAATTCAAATGCAGATGAGTTTTTTTTCTTTTATGTGTTTTAAATTATTACTTTTGAGTTTACTGGATTGTTGGATTACCTATATGGGACGAATAGTTGTGGGTGGTTATGAGCGGTGTGGCTTATTGCGAATGTGATTTTTTTGTTCGATTTCCATCGCTTGATGCATTTTTTTTTAAATTTATTTAAAGCTTCACCATTTCCCAAAATGTATTATAAGTGCGTAACATATTATGTCAAGGTTTTTTTTCACCCCTCAGCTTTGTTGTCTGTTAAAATTAATAAATCATAACCTCACCTCATTATGCTTACGTAAGATTTTTAATTATTCAAAATGTTTTTGTCCCAATTATTTTTTTTTTTATTAATTTTTGAAGATTGTTTAAGATTTCTAACAATGAAAGAATCTAGGGATCTTATAGCCTTATATTAGCATTGCTTATACATCTGTTTGTCTACGAAAATGATGAAGAAAATTACCTTTTACTAATAAGTATTTTTTTTTTTTAAATATAAGCACCTAGTTGTCTTTTAGGTGGTTACGTAATATTAAGCGGTTACTATTGAATCTTTCCTAAAATAAAGCTAAAATTTCGATTTCCTAAGAAATAGTATTAATTTTAAATTTTATTTGTGTTTATTAGCTGTTTAATTTATTATTATTCACTTAAACTAAGTTTTTATTATAATAATGCTTATTTTATTCTCTTAAACTATATGTAGTGTTTTTTTTTTCTGTTTTTTTTTTCATCCTTTTCCTTCAGCTGTCCATTTTGAGTTATGGAATTTTACTTTATAAAAACTAACAGAACTGTTATTGGTATCAAAATAAATTTTATCACAAATGTGCACACGGATAATCATCATTAGCAGTGTGTAATACGACTATTCATGGAATATATACATATCAGTATATTAAATAAAGATTATTGATAAGATCTTGTGATAAATACGTTTTATTTACAAGTATCTTTTTTGTGAGCTGCTTTACAATATCAGATATCTGTAATATGAGTAGCATATGATGTAAAAATTGCAATTCTTGCTTAACAACATGCAACTTCTCTCTTTCCATTTCCCTCTGGGATGCCACTTAATCCTCAAGAAAGTCAGCTTTCAACATTTTCAGATTCACCTTTTATTCAACTCCAGATTGATCTCCAGATATCTTAGCGCTTTCAGAAGCAAGATCACATTCTGTAAATCTTCCTGGAGTGAAACGCAACTCTGCAAAGGTGGAAAATAGCTTGACACAGGGACACTGATCCCTGTGACTCTGTCCCTTAATGCTTCCAAATGAGGAGAGAAGGGATTCAATCCGGAATCAATAGTTATTCTCTGGTGTTAATCTCAGCTGAATTTCTCCTTGGGGAATGGGCCTTGAATTTAAGAAGGTCTTTCTCTTATATCCCCATCCCATTTTACCTTAGAAACACTCCCTGTGAGGACTAGGCTTTAATAGGATTATTCGATTTAAACAAGCCATTGTAAAAGATGCATGAACTGCAGAGATAGAAGAGTCGTTGTTGCATGAAATGGATTTACTGGAAACAAGAAAAGGTTGCCTTCTGTGTTGCAAATAGAAGTAAAGATACTGTTTGTGTTGTCTGAGCTTTTGCTTCAACTGAGAAAGTGCCTAGTTTATCGTTTAGAATAGTATATTTTCGTATATCCGACCACAGTTCAGAAAATCAGGACGGTTGGCTGGAGGTATTGTGTTAAATTTCTCTGAAATACCAAACTTAGCTTTCCAATTGAATCCAATTAAATATTTTCAGATTCAAAGGAGGAAATTATAATGTTCCAATTATTAAAGATGTGGAATTGTGAGTTCTCGAATTTATTTTCTCGTTGAGAATCGATATTTAATTCATAAAGATAAGCACGTAAATTGGTATAATTAATTTACAAGCTAGTTGTTTAACTAGTACTTAATTTATAGTTTAGCATACTATATTTTCTTATTTCCGACCACAGTTAATAGTTTTCAAGAAATCAGACCGCTTTGCTAGAGGTACTGTGTTAAATTTGCCTGAACTGCCAAATTTAGCTTTCCAATTGAATCGAATTAAATATTTTCAAATTCAAGGGAAGAAATTTTAATGTTCCAATTATTAATGTTGTGGAATTGTGTCTTCTGAGTTAGTTTTCTCGTTTAGAACAGATATTCAATTCATAAGGATTACCTAATAAATTGGTATAATTAATTTGCAAGCAAGCTGTTTAACAAATGTGTAGATATAAATATTCTTTTTCTCTTATAAATTTGCATTTTACTAGTCGTGGTAAACTTTTTTAAGTTTTATAAATACTTATAAATGGTGTATCATATCCTGGTTATACCCCTAGTACTCTTGCTACCGTTTAATCAGCTTTCCTAGTACCGTTTTTCATTTATATTTAATACAGTACAGCCAATTTTGTCTTTTATTTTCATTAACTTTATATCGATTTCAATTCGATTTATAGGACCATTTTGACGAGAAATATGGCTGTTTCCCTTTGAAGTTGTCAATCAGTTACAAAATTATGCGAAGATGTAAGGGTTAAAAATCGAATTCCATTTAAATTTTATTTTTACTTATTTCTCACCATGTTATTGAAAAACATATTTGATACTGTTTCAATATTAAATTGAATGTTAAAGCTAAAGCTATTTATTTTTAATTAAGGTTTAAATCCAGAAATTCTTGACAATCAAAATTTTCTTTTCTAATGAAGTTGCATATGAAATAATAATTAAAATGTATACGCATGTAAACATTTTCGTATAAGATCAAAGCTTGGTTAACATCTTAGGAACCGTTTGTTGAAAAAGATGCTTATATCTAACATGATAATTGATTAAACGATTTATTATTTCCCACATATACTAATTTTTTTAAATATTTCTTAATTGATCATTTAGTATTAAGTAATTAAAGGACTTTTTTATGCATAGGAAATCGCTCCGGGTTTTTACTACCATAATGAATTTCATGCTGTACGAGACACTGGATCAAAGAAATCCCTAAACGGTAATGTAAACTTGTTAATTGTAGTTGGATATAGCTAACTAGACTTGAATATTTTGAAAATATATTTTCTCAAATCATACAAATTAAACGAAATTATGTATTGAGAATAGTTATGTTTTATACATTATACAAAACTAAACGAATATTTATTTTTTCAATTTTTACAAGCAGTCATAGTAAAACTAAGGACGTGAACGTAAAAGTAGTAAAACTGAAGTAAAATCTAGAGTTTTTCTATCCGTTAAATATTGCTATAAACCAGGGGTTTTCAACTTACATGAGGCCGGGGGCCGCAATTAAAAACACCAGTCAAATGGCGGGCCGCAAAATTTTATATAGGACTCTTTTATAATTTGAAAGAACATTAAGTATTACTGTCAGATTTTTACCAAGTTGTACAAAACAAAAGTATTGAATTACAAATTAAAATAAGAAGTAGATTTTTACAAATATTTAATTGCATGTTAAAAAATTCTGGCTACAATAACTTTAATGTGCACCTATATATTAAACAATTTTAATATGTAACAGACATCAAATTGTCAAGATATAGAACTTACAATTATTTAAAACCCATATAGATTTTTGCGAAAATTGTCCACAAAAAATGACAACTAATTTATTTTAGTTCGCGGGCCACAAAGAAAGGCTTCAGTTGGTAACCATTGCAATAAACTAACGAAATTGAAAAGCTCAAAATTGTGAGTAATCTCATTCAGTGTCACACAATAACGCAGAGGAAATTAAATATCTTTAACATAATGAAAATATCAAATAAATGTAACAATAATTACAAATAAATAATCTATAACAAATTACAAATAAATAATCTATAATAAATAACAAATTACAGATCCCCCGAAGTAGCTCGATTGTGATAAATTTTTAATATCGTGAGATGCCTCGATCAACAGCATTATGCTAGATGATACTGAATACAGTTAATCTTAATTTTAATGGGATGAACTGCTAAATACATGTTTTGCTTAATCAAATAACTGAAGGTTTCATGGAAGCACAACAAAAAATATTAAATAAAAAAAAAAAAAAAACATTGGAATTGTTTTGGCTTTATTATATGTGTTGGTATTTGTTCCAGTTTTGTGCATGACTTTGTAGTGTTGTTCAATACTGATTTGTTGATTCGTTTTTTCACTCCATATGCCAAACGGGTGATAACAAATACATTTTAAATGTCAATTGAGACTATATTTTTAAAGAGTGGTGGTTGTTAAATTGACATCTTTTATATTCTTTTTGTGAAAAATATAGAAACGATTTTCAAACACCATTTTTGTATATTGGCTGCAGATTTTCATGTGTTTTTTCTTAAACCGTTTTATGTAGTGTTTGCTTTAAAAAAATAAAATAAAATAATTTGACTTTTATAGTTGACATATACAGGGTTATTCATAATTCCCTCCCGGGGGGAACTGGACTATCACAATGATGTGCCGTGTGACCAAGGGTTCGCACATAGAACACCTGTAATGTATGTAAGTAAAACTTGAATAGTTTCGGAATAATTTCATATGTTTCTTTTTTTTTCATATTCGTCTTCCTTTTTTTTACTATAACGCTTCGAAATCCCGGGGGGAATTATGAATAACCCTGTATGTATATAAAAAAAAATTTCTATAGACTGAATTAATAAAATCAGAAGAGAATAAAACCTAAACTATATATCATGACGTCGAAACATAGCTAGAAACTCAAAATTCAACTGCTGTACGGAAAAACTCTGCTATCCCACATACAGAACCAATTAAATTTAATACTTTTACCCTCACAAAAATCCTTCGATATAAGCAGAGAAAAATAGGAGAGAGGGAAGATGGAGAGCAAAAGATGCTCCTCCGCATCAACGAGTCAGTGATCATTCCCCGCATCCTTTCTCCCAAACAAAAGAGACACCGATGCTTGTAACTCATCATTTGCATTGACCGTTAATGACGACTAATCTGATGATAGAGCGGGGCCCACGGCACCCTAGGGACACCAGTGCACGGGGCCCTTGTTAACTAATGAAGTTCTCCCTTGCATATGAGACGGTTATTTTATGGTTTATTACTAAGACTAGGCAGCTAATAGCATCCCAAACTACGCCTTGTTCCGAACCTTTTTTTTTTCTTCTTTCCTTTTTAAATGCGTCCCTCCATCATGCTTGCTGACTTCTCATTTGCCTGCTTCGGAAAAGAAGCATATTTATTGCTATTCTTTCCTCCCCTGACTGCAAAACCTAATTTCGAGGGCGTTCGGTCTTTGTGGAAATTAAGTTTTATTTTTAAGGCATTTTTATTTGTTTGCGGTTATTATTACGAGTGGAATAATTTTTTTTCCCCTTCCTGCTTCGAACTGGAGTTGTACCCGAGCGACTAATCCTGATGGGCTGGAAACGAAAATGAAAATATCATATTGCCGATGGAGGAAGAGTAGCCAGAAGTTACGACGTAACTGGATGTTATGATCCTCTCTCTCTAACAAACGAGATATTAAATAGATGAAGTTGAGGGCACTTTTTGACACAAAATGAATATTTAGAAGGACAGTCATTGCAACTTGGAATTTCTTTTTTCGATTTAACATAATTAATTTATTGAAGAAAAAAGACCAGGGGAAATGAAATTGGCCGTTACTTACAAAATAGCCTTTTATATTTGCAGAAATGTGGTCCAAAACTAGGCATAAGGTTCAGTGGAATAATAAGAAGCATGTGCAAAGTATGCAGCAATGCTGCGTTTGTCGTATAGATTTAAGTTTCTATAAAAAAGAAATTTTAATAGTTGGATTCATCACTCGTAGTTCGGTAAATAAGTTTTTGTTTGTAGAATATTTTATTTTTCCCTATTTTGAACTGGACTGATCATGATGAGTTTTAAATTAAAATATCATTTTTCCGCTGGAAAAAGGTATATATAGAATTTACAACCGTCGTATTGTTATGTTGAGGTCGCTCACAAACGGAATATTAAATGGGTGAAGTTAAGAGTCATTTTTTTCAATACAAAATGAATATTTAGTAGCGCAGGCATTGTAATGCAAAATTTATTTCATCGACTTCGTCTAAATAATTTGATGAAGAAAAAGGACTAGGAAAAATTAAGTTGGCAGCTACTTACAAAATAGTTTTATATTTGCCGAAATGTGGTCTAAAACTAGACATAAAGGTACGGTAAAATAATGAGAAGTATGTACAAATAATGCAACTATGCTTCGTTTGTCGTATACATCTGAGTTTCTATTACTGTTTTAAATAATTACATTCATCACATGTTGCCCGGTTATCTCAAAATAAAAAATTAAGTTTTATTTTTGAAGTATTTTTATTTGTTTGCGGTCGTGGAATATTTTATTTCTTCCTATTTTTAACTGGAGGTATACCAGTGCTACTGATCATGATAGGTTTTAATTAAAAATATCATCGGAGATAGAAGAATATTTATATGGAATTTACTACCATCGTTACCATGTTGTGTTCAGCTAGCTCGCGTGTGAATTATTAAATTGAAGTAGCAAAGGCAATTTTTTGATATAAAATGAATATTTAGTAGCCCAATTATTGTAACGTAGAATTGCTTTGTTCAACTTCATCTAATTAATTTGTTGAAGAAGAAGACCAGGGAAAATGAATTTGGTAGTTACTTACTAAGTAGCTTTAACGTTGTATATAAATGTCAAAAGTAGGCATAGTGGTTGGCGGAATTAAAAGAAGAGTGCACAATTCATACCACAGATATATTTAAAAGTAGTACCCTGTTTTATGTTTTATTTTTTTCACATATATGCTTCTTTTGTGCTTTAGGCGTGTGTATTGTTAGATGCTTCAAGTTTTGTACTCTGAGTTGATGTGCAAATTTTTTAAATCCTATGTATATGGAAGATTTATGTTATGGATATATAACCGTAGTTGACTAGCCGAATCAATTTTGGGTTTACGACTACTAATGTTCAACTCCGTAGCCTTGTAATTTTGAACCCAATCCAGAAGACAAGGGATTTATTAGATCAAGTAATGAGAGAAATTTGTCTTCTGGGAGGAGTTTTTGATGGAACTAACCGCATTTGCGTTACATGGAGAGGAAAACCAGTCTAACGGCAAGGCGACTGTAGCCCATGATCCATCTACCACTTAGGATATTTTACGTCATCACAGGTTGGTGTGAGCCCGGTGCGGAACTCGTATCGACCAGCCATCGCTGGAATTCGAACCTGGTTCACCTCATTGGAAGGCGAACGCTGTATCCCCTAAGCCACCACAGCTCATGTTATAGATATGGTAAAGAATATATGATTAATGATATATGAAAAATTGTAGAAAATACATTACAATAAAGTTCTTTGATAACCTCTCCTTAAGTTGCGCTCTATAGTTTGAGAAACACAAGTTAAATAGGTAATATTTTGTTTGATGAAAACTAATCAAGCCACTATTTCTACATTAATTTTGTTATTTTTTTTATTTACTTTAAATGTATGCTGCCGGTGTAAGGAAAAATAAATAAATAAAAAATAAACCTGCATTATTAGATTTACAGTAAAATTCAATGCATCAGAACTGAATTCAAAAATGTGACACATTCTTATCAGGGTCATTATAATTTAAAATCAAGGATTTTTTTTTTTCTAGAAATAATAAGGCTTAATTTGAAACCAATTCGAACTTTTTCAGTGAGTTTGAAATTGTCTTAGAAAATGTTTCACTTTGATATCACAATTTCTAAAACGGAAAATATTCGACGAATTTTAAACTATTAAAAATAGTCGAGGAAAGAAAAAAAAGACATTGGGGACACCTTAGATTGGAATAAATTTTAAAACGTAAATTATTTTTATTTAATTATTTTTACGCATCAAACGGGTTTTAAAATTAAACACCTTATTTGTTATAAAACTAAACTTACTGGGCTTTTTACCATTTTTTAAAAATATTATTTAAAAAAACTAAGTAAAAAAAAAGGTTTTCGCGGCGGTTTCACTTGAAATAAATTTTTGTGTATTAC